ATTCTTAGCCAGTTAGGGCTGAAGATATTTAAATGTAACTATAAAATACTATATGTAGGTCATGGTGACCTACTTTTTGATTGAAATTTTCAGAGGACACAAGATGCATTAATTGACAAAGATTGATGATTTTAAGCCAATAAGTACTTGAGATATTTAAAAGTGGGTCACAGTGACCTACTTATTGGTTAACATTCTCCAAAAACCCAAGGTGCATAAACTGACAAAGTTTGACAATTCTAAGCCAATAAGTACCCTAGAATACTTAAATTTAGCCATAAATGTCACAAGTAGGTCACTGTGACCTATATTTTGATCATCATTCTCCAATAAGTACTTGAGATATTTAAAAGTGGGTCACAGTGACCTACTTATTGGTTAACATTCTCCAAGAACCCAAGATGCATCAAATAACAAAGTTTGATGATTTCAAACCAATAAGTACCCGAAATACCTAAATTTAGCCATAAAATGACAAAAGTAGGTCACTGTGACCTACTTTTTGGTCGACATTCTCCAAAAACCCAAGATGCGTCTACTGACAAAGTTTGATGATTCTAAGCCAATTAGTACCTGAGATATTCAAAAGTGGGTCACCATGACCTACTTTTTGGTCAGCATGCTCCGAAAATCTAAAATGCATCAAATGACAAAATTTGATGATTCTAAACCAATTAGTACCTGAGATACATAAAACTAGCCATAAAATGTCAAAAAGAGGTCACTGTGACCTACTTTTTGGTCGACATTCTCCGAAAACCCAAGATGCATCTACTGACAAAGTTTGATGATTCTAAGTCAATTAGTACCTGAGATATTCAAAAGTGGGTGACGTTGACCTACTTTTTGGTCAACATGCTCCGAAAATCTAAGATGCATCAACTGACAAAATTTGATGATTCTAAACCAGTTAGTACCTGAGATAAATAAAACTAGCCATAAAATGTCAAAAAGAGGTCACTGTGACCTACTTTTGGTCGACTTGCTCCGAAAACTCAAGATGCATCAAATGACAAAGTTTGATGATTCTAAGCAAATAAGTACCTGAGATACTAAAATATAGCCATAAAATGTCAAAAGTAGGTCACTGTGACCTACTTTTTGGTCTTTAATCTCCGAAATCCCAAGGTGCATCAACTGACAAATTTTAATGATTCTAAGCCAATTAGTACCCGAGATACTTAAATTTAGCCATAAAGTGTCGAAAGTAGGTCACAGTGACCTACTTTTTGGTCGACATTTTCTGAAGACCAAAGATGCATCAACTGACAAAATTTGATGGTCATAGGTCTAATAGTATTCAAAATACGCCTTTTAAACAATTTAAAAACAAATGCCTTCAAAAAGTAGGTCACAGTGACCTACTTTTTGATAAATATGTTTTAAGGCCTCTAGATGCATCAACTTACAAGATTTGGTGATTCTAAACCTCTCGGTGTCTGAAATAATGGGATTAAATGTTTTAGAAAAGATTAGCCATAAAATTCAAAAAGTAGGTCATGATGACCTACTTTAAAGTTGATGTTGTTTGTGGACCCAAGTGCACCAACTGACAAAGTTTTATGATCATAGGCCTTAAAGTGTCCAAAATATGCCTCTAAATCAATTTGAAAACAAAAGCCTGTAAAATTTAAAAAGTAGGTCACCGTGACCTACTTTTGTATTAACATGATGTCAAGTCCTGAGATGCATCAACTTACAAGATTTGATGATCCTAGTCTTTATAGTAAGCAAAATATCAACGTTTTTAATAAGTGTAAATTTTGGTCAACTTTGAAGTGACCTTGAGACCACGCCCTTTGCCCCAGGGTCATGCCTTGAACAATTTTTAATCTTCAACATATCCTGACCCTTGTATGTAAGTTTGGTGAAAATCTGCCAGGTGGTTCTGGAGAAGATTTTTTAGCAACCAGTACTTCTGGTTTTATTTTAGTGATTATCTCCCCTTGTTTTAGGGTCCCACCCCTAATTTTAGTATAAATGGTATCTCTTGGGCCAAGGATACCCTGTGACAAATTTGACAATAATTCGCCAAGGTGTTGAATTATGGCCCATATTCTACCAAGAGGCCCATGGGCCACATCGCTCACCTGAGCACTAAGGGTAGGAAAAAGTAGAAAATGGCTTTTTACTGTAAAGTTTAAATCCAAAAGTAGTCCCATGACCAATCATGGATTTGCTATTTTTTAAAAAAATGATTTTTAAAGAATTTCCTATATATATCTTTAAAAACTTTGGTCAGCCATTTTGGCCCCGCCCTACCCCTGGGGGTCATGATTTGAACAAATTTGAATCTAAACTACTTGAGCATGCTTCCATATAAATATGATGAATTATGGCTTTGTCATTCTTTAGAAGAAGATGTTTAAAGAATTTTCCTATATATTTCTATGTAAAACTTAGGTCGGCCATTTTGGCCCCGCGCCCTACCCCCGGGGGTCATGATTTGAACAAACTTGAATCTACACTACCTGAGCATGCTTCCATATAAATATGATGAATTATGGCTTTGTCATTCTTGAGAAGAAGATTTTTAAAGAATTTTCCTATATATTTCTATGTAAAACTTTGGTCGGCCATTTTGGCTCCGCCCTACCCCTGGGGGGTCATGATTTGAACAAACTTGAATCTACATTACCTGAGCATGCTTCCATATAAATATGATGAATTATGGCTTTGTCATTCTTGAGAAGATTTTTAAAGAATTTTCCTATATATTTCTATGTAAAACTTAGGTCGGCCATTTTGGCCCAGCCCTATCCTCGGGGGGTCATGATTTGAACAAACTTGAAACTACACTACCTGAACATGCTTCCATATAAATATGATGAATTATGACTTTGTCATTCTTGAGAAGAAGATTTTTAAAGAATTTTCCTATATATTTCTATGTAAAACTTTGGTCGGCCATTTTGGCCCCGCCCTACCCCGGGGGGTCATGATTTGAACAAATTTGAATCTACACTACCTGAACATGCTTCCATATAAATATGATGCATTATGACTTTGTCATTCTTGAGAAGAAGATTTTTAAAGAATTTTCCTATATATTTCTATGTAAAACTTAGGTCTGCCATTTTGGCCCCGCCCTAGTAACCCCCGGGGGGTCATGTTTTGAACAAACTTGAATCTACACTACCTGAACATGCTTCCACATAAATATGATGAATTATGACTTTGTCATTCTTGAGAAGAAGATTTTTAAAGAATTTTCCTATATATTTCTATGTAAAACTTAGGTCGGCCATTTTGGCCCCGCCCTACCCCCGGGGGTCATGATTTGAACAAAATTGAATCTACACTACCTGAGCATGCTTCCATATAAATATGATGAATAATGGCCTTGTCATTCTTGGGAAGAAGATTTTTAAAGAATTTTCCTATATATTTCTATGTAAAACTTTGGTCTGCCATTTTGGCCCTGCCCTACCCCTGGGGGTCATGATTTGAACAAACTTAAATCTACACTACCTGAGGATGCTTCCATATAAATATGATGAATTATGGCTTTGTCATTCTTGAGAAGAAGATTTTTAAAGAATTTTCCTATATATTTCTATGTAAAACTTAGGTCGGCCATTTTGGCCCCGCCCTAACCCCGGGGGTAATGATTTGAACAAACTTGAAACTACACTACCTGAGGATGTTTCCCCATAAGTTTCATCTTTCCTGGCACAGTGTTCTTGAGAAGAAGATTTTTAAAATATGCCACCAAATTTTCATTAATTCCCAATTACCGGTATCTCCCCTTGAATTAAATTTGAACAAACTTGAATCCCCTTCACCCAAGGATACTTTGTGGCAAGTTTGGTTGAAATTGGCCCAGTGGTTCTTGAGAAGAAGTCGAAAATGTGAAAAGTTTACAGACAGACGGACGCCGGACAAAATGTGATCAGAAAAGCTCACTTGAGCTTTCAGCTCAGGTGAGCTAAAAAGTTAACACACATCGCACGACGCACACCGCACAAATGGCCATAGCATTAGCTCTTTGAGCCTTTGGCTCAGAAGAGCTAAAAAGGCTATAAAACAGTCACATACCCTCCAATTCAAAATTTCTCCCAGTGACGTTTCATGAATGCTTTAGCGACAGGTAAAATATCATAAGTCTCTTTGCACTACAATTATGCAATTTTTAATTTTGATAAGGAGTCTTTGTGATGTAAACGTGCCAAAATGTAGCATGCTCCGTGAAACAACTTTTATCAAAATAAAAAAGTTGTATATTTTTCAATGATCACTGGAGAGCACCAAATTTTTGTATATATTTATTGGAAAATAGGTTAAGATTTTATCTGGAAAGTTTGACCGGTTTCTTTGAAATAGCGAGCTTACAATAGAACTTGTCCGCGAACTTTTCTAACACCCCTTGTACATTTACATAGAAATATGGAAATGAAATGGAAATCATTTGACTCAAGGTCATTCCAGTGAGATCAAACTTTTATAGAAAAAACGAGAGAAAATGCTTTTCTTGGAAATATCTTTATAATTGAAAATCATTGGAAGCACAAGATTTAATGACTTGGGGGTTTGTTTAGGCCTTGATCCAAGATTTATTACCATATCTTCAAGGTCACCTAGATTAAAATGTATAAAACTTGTCTGACTATAACTTTGAAATGGAGAATTAATGAAAGCTCATCTTTAAATTGGTTCAAAAATTGTTAGTTACAAGAAGGTGTTTCAAGACCTGGAAACGGTCCTTCTTTCAAGTTCAAAAGTCACTGGTGGAAAAGTATTAAGTTCTTATACACACAAGAATGTAACATTTTATTTGAGAATCATTATCTCATTGGATAAAAAGATTATGACATGAGGGGTTTGTTGTAACCTTGACCCAAGGTCATTGTGGCTAATTGAAGCGCTCTGGGGAAAAAAATAAAATTCATGACAAGTCTCTAATTTTCTCATTTACAAATTGTATATTGGCACTTTAAAATTGCTGCACTAGGTATTCTTTTGCGAGTTCACTAACTCTTTGGAAGAAAAAGTGAGAGTAGGCATGATAAAATTTTTAATAAATATCACGTCTGAGATTTTGCAACAATAATAACATTTTCAGGTGTGAGCTTTTCTTCTATGTAGGTCTTGAGCTGACTTTGTAGACCACAGTTCCTCAAGTAATGTACTCGACCAATGTCAATTAATCTCTTACACTTTCTGCCTATCTCTTCTCTCTGACTTGCTGACAACTGAAGGTCACTCCTTCATAGAAGAAAGAAAAAATGGTATTATAATAACAAATACCAGTATGCATATGTTATTCATGTATTTGTTTAGCATTTTTAGCATTATGAAATCTTTTTCTTTTGAAAATTCTCATGTTGAAAGTATTTATAAACAGACCATGTAAGTTTTTTATTCAGAAATGCATTCCTAATTGGAAGAGGGAGAAAAATGCAATGGACCAGACTGGGATTTGAACCCAGGCTCTCAGAATCTCCAGTAAGGTGCCCTACCAACTGAGCTTTCTGGCCACTAACTGGCAATTGAACTTGTCTGTAAGTTATATTCCTCTCTCCTCAAAGGTCCTCAGCTCCTGAAGACAGCAACCCAGGCTCTTCCCTGGCAAGTCTTTCAGCTCCCACGACCAAAAAGTAACAAGAGAGGAGAAAATGCAGCTGCCTAGGCCCTCGTTTGAATTCTGATCTGGTCTGCTGCATTTTCTCCTCACCCATTACATTTGGTGCCATGCCATGTCCTGAAAGTTACAGGTGAAAAACCAGCCAGATAAGAGCCTGGGTTTTTTCTTCAGAGGTCGAAGACCTTAAAGGAGGGAGGAATGTGGGGTCAGACAGGTTCAATCGCAGGTGGCTAGATAACTCTGTTGGTAGAGCCCCTTCAGGGGTCCAGGTTTGAATCCCTGTTTCGTCTCTCACATTTTTCTCCTCTCCCTTGAAACATACCTGTGATTAATGACAAAAATAGATTCACTTTCATAGAGAAAATTCAAATTTACCTAGAAAATGGCTGCTCACTGTCCTGATGTTCCTCAAAGTCATTAGAATTAATTGACTGATCCACAGTGGTGTTTTTATCTTCCGTCTGTGAAGATGAATCCCGCTCATCACTGACATTATCAGCATTGTTCTTGTTTTCAGTTTTACATTCAGTGTCAATACTAGAATTTCCCCTGTTAATTTCTCTGTACATTTCCTCCTTTGTTTTCCAGCCAGTCCATGTTGCAGCTGTCCAGCCACTAAGTTTACACAGTAAGGTAAATTCTCTATGAGAAAGTCCACAGTTCTTTATGAATTCTTTACCAACATATGTCTCCCACGTACATCTGTGGTGACAACAAAGGGCTATGGTAATGCCTGCTAGACATGGCCTGCAGAAGATGATGTCAAAAATCTAAATTAGATATATACTGACGTTTTGAATTCTCTCCTGTACATGAATATTAAATTCTCATGTACATGGTAAATTAAATATACTAGTACCTTGGATGACTATCATGATTTTCTGACTTAAATTTCTTCTCTTCTGGTTGACTTGTTCTTTCCTCAAATTTTTGCACATTAAGAGTTTTTGTAACACAACGTAAAGCAAAGTCTGAAGAAAACAAAGTTATGTTAAAATTATAGCATGTGTATATGACAGGTACCATTCTTCATTGATCCACCATACAAAATGTTTACTCCTTGAATAAGCAAAATTTGACAAATAGTCACCTGTATCTTTTTAAAGTTAATAATTTATCAGAACGACTTTATCACTTGATATTAAATTCAGGTAGAGCTGACCCTGAGACTTTACCTGTTGCGCCTCCACACAGATGTTTACCAACTGCAACCACTGGTCTCTGATTGGCTGAAATACTCTCCACTTTCTCTATTCGAAAATATAGTCATGATTTCGTAGTTAACAATGAACTTGTTTATTAGAAAAGGTAAAGCATTAATATAAAGCCAATGAACAAAAGTATTCATGTTTTTCATAGATATTTTACAATAATGATAAATTTCTTCTACTCACCCAGATTTAAGTCGGCAATATTTATACAAAGACGTTCAAACTTGGGTCCTGTATCTGACCACTTGTGCTTGTTATCTGCCTGAGAAAATGTGAATACCAGAGTACTTCAAAACACAGTAGTGTAGTCTCATGAATGACATTGTATGCACAAGTATATCCTTATTACTAAACTTGTATTATTTTGTTTGAAGTTTAAGTATTACTTCATAATACACTATGTTTATTTGCTTTTTCCTAGCTCCCCTGCATTAGGAGGTCAGAAATATAATATTGAGATAAGTTTACCTTGTATCTCACATGACCATAGTCCACTAAAACAAAGCCTAGATCTGACTTGTCTGGTAAGGCTTGCTGTATCCAGTGGGATAAATTACCTGTAATACATGTAATTACATGTACCGGTATTATATTCTAGCACAGTGATAATGCCTCACAATATACACATGTATTTTATCTTAATTAAAATAATCTGCTTTGAATAAAAGAAACCATATTTATAACCAATAAAAACAGAAGTTACCTTTGCCAGCACCAAGCTCCACAAAGCACAGGCCTTCATGTAACAAGTCCAGCCTCTGTAACTGTCCTACCAGAGAAGCCTGGCAATACAACAATAAATAAAATATTTTTTAGCTTAATCATCTCATTTCAGAATGAATCCGACTGGTTTTTATCAATCTTGTGGTAAGTCTGACCCAGACCTGTTGTTTTCTGTGGCGGATGGCAGGAATTCCATAAGACTCATTGCTTAGTTCCTCATCCAGACAATGGTGGCTCAAGATTTCTTCATCAATCCTGGTAACATGTTCTGGTTTAAACAGTAAATAAAAACTCAGAAAATCAGCTTACTAGATTTATCTTTTTAGTAATTTCTGTTCTTATCTCAAGCTTTAAATTATGAGATATGTCATTCAAATTATAAACAAATTAACCCATGGCTGCAGTATATTTGAATAACTCAATTTATCGGGGAAAATTCAAATTCAAACAAAAACATATGCAATCTATAACAAGAAATGTTTGAGAAACATATATGTCTACATGTGGAAATATAACAAAGGAAACTACTTTAAATTTAGATGTCAACACCAATAGAGGTCATCTACTCTTCAGGGGGTACCAGTGTGTCAAATCTGATATCCATAGGGTTCTTGACATATTGAGCGGAAAAACACTTTGTTTTTCAACAAATGCATTTAGTAATATGCCCCCTTTTCAAAAACTTAGAGTATTTCAAGACGTATCAGCCTTCAGAACATTTATGTTTAAGTATGATTCTTCCTAAACCCACATACAGAAAACAGAGAAAAAAGTTTTCTTTCTCAAGTGATGGAGTTGCCACAATAAGGCATTAGGAGGACTAGTTTTTTTTTGTACTACATTTTTCATCTGATCCAGAATGGATTTCTCCTATTGCCAATAACTGCTTACCATCATAAAGCTTGTGAACCTTTTCAATTAAATCTTGCAACTCTTTTGTTGAGAAATCTTTAAGTGGTATCTGAAAATCAAAATAATAAATAGAGTTATGAGCTGTTTGAAAATATCTGGAATTTCAGTTGACATTCTCTAGAATGTGAGTTGTTTGAAATTATCTAGAATGTGAGTTGTTTGAATTTATCTAGAATGTTGGTTGTGTGACATTATCTAGAATGTGAGTTGTTTGACATTATCTAGAATGCGAGTTGTTTGACATTATCTAGAATGTGAGTTGTTGGACATTATCTAGAATGTGAGTTGTTGGACATTATCTAGAATGTGAGTTGTTTGAAATTATCTAGAATGTGAGTTGTTTGACATTATCTCGAATGCGAGTTGTTTGACATTATCTAGAATGTGAGTTGTTGGACATTATCTCGAATGTGAGTTGTTGGACATTATCTAGAATGTGAGTTGTTTGACATTATCTAGAATGTGAGTTGTTTGACATTATCTCTACCTTTGTTTCCTTTGCTGTATCTTCTACTTCATCAGTGTCTGTGTTGATGCCTGTTGTGTGATATGGCTACAACAATAAAAATCCTTATAACCTGAATTATAAGTTCTTGGGAACTTTTTGCCAACATGTTTCAGACAAAAGTATATGTACCAGTAAATGAACTGAACTGATGATTTAATGCAAATTCTGTTTGTAAATTATAATTTATCCAAATTAGATCATAACATTATAGATCTTTATACCGGCAATTCTTTTTGTTGTTTCCTGCATTTCTTCAGATGTTTCTCCACACTGTCTTTATAGCAAGTACTGTTTAAAATAAATTTATTCCATTAATTCCATTTATAACATCTATACATTGTATTTAAAAATTAAGCTGAAATGAGGAGCAAAAGACCTAAAATGATTTAAAATAAAGTGCTTATAACTTGAAACATAAACTTTAATAAATGTATTGACTATGAAGAAAACAATTATGCTATTGATTTAAAAAATAATCCATGCATTACTTATTGTGCATAAAAGTATGTAAAATCCAGTTTTACACATTTTCTACATATAAAATGGAACCTCTTTAATTTTGAGGCCAATATTTGGGATGCTTCACCTTCTGGACAAAAAATTACGCGAAACAATTTACAATTACTGTCAAATCACTAATTTTTATTTTCTTATCAACGTTCAATTTTTATACTGAAGTATAATGTTTCTTCTTTAATCATGAAATTATATACCCTTGTAATATTAAATTTCATATATTCAAAACACACTGAAAACAAGTTATTTTTTTGTCTCATAATATTTTCAGAACTTTATCTGAATTCATTTAATTCTCAGGAACACAAGTGTCCAGATGATGAGGCTTGATTGTGAATATCTTACTGTTTGGGGTTAATTGGACAAGGAATTCTCTCCCTTCCTTGGTCTATCTGTCAAGATAAAGTACATATAATTACAATTTGATTTAAACAACAAATATTCTTTAGTTATTATTCTTACTAATTAATCAATTTTTCCAATTAATCTCTACAATATAAATTTAAATGATAGGGACCCTGAAGGTTAAAGAATATACTGCTGATTACAGGTGCATGGGGACAAGACCCCAAGGTCACAATTTCTGAATGTTCATGTTTCGTAAAAAGCAGTTGTTGAGTTCTCCCCTGCTAGAAATAGTAAAAATGACAACTCGTTGACAATTGAAATGATGAGTCGCTGGTGTTAAACAAGACAATTCTCAGTACTGGAACTACAATGGCACACAAATTAGCTATGTAACAATTAATTGATAATCTCTGAAGATACTGAAACCTTAATATACTTCCAGTTATAGTAATAGCTTTCATCTTAATTTTTTAAGGAATTCCCATCGATATGTTGAAAACCGTCTGTTGAAGTTGCCATCCTTATTCTGTTTTAGTATCAGAGAGCTCGAGTCATGTGAATTTTTCTAAAAGGTTAGTTTTAGATTAATTAAAATAAATTTTGATTTTTTATTCATTACACTTTGTGAGTATGTCATAGAAAAAATGGTATAGATTTAAAAAGTCAAAGAACCCTTGGGAGGGGGGTCCCATCCCCGGGCACATGTGCTGCTAGCTGCATGCAGATCTGTAAAAAAAAAATCTCCTGTCTATCAATATATTTTTTTTTCAGAAAGCTACAGATCTTCACTGTCTGTCAAGTCTGTCAATATATTTATACCCCCCGCAAACAAAGTTTGGGGGGGTATATAGGAATCACCTTGTCCGTCTGTCTGTCTGTCCGTCTGTCTAGCTGTCCATCCGTCCGTCTGTCTGTCTGTCCGTCTGTCTGTGCAATCGTGTCCGGTCCATATCTTTCTTACAGAGGGACATCAGAATCTACTACTCCACACTAAGATTGCCCATGACCCAAGGGTGTGTCATGACCTTGACCCAAGGTCATTTGGGGAAGTTCAAGGTCACTGGAAGAAAAAGTTCATAATTCGTGTCCGGTCCATATCTTTCTTATGGATAAACTTGGTAGGTTCTCATTTCACACAAAGATTGCCCATGACCCAAGGGTGTGTCATGACCTTGACCCAAGGTCATTTGGGGAAGTTCAAGGTCACTGGAAGAAAAAGTTCATAATTCGTGTCCGGTCCATATCTTTCTTATGGATAAACTTGGTAGGTTCTCATTTCACACAAAGATTGCCCATGACCCAAGGGTGTGTAATGACTTTGACCCAAGGTCATTTGGGGAAGTTTAAGGTCACTGGAAGAAAAATTTCATAATTTGTGTTTGATACATATCTATTATGGAAAAACTTACTTCTGAAAAACCCAGCGGGGGGTATTTTGTCCCGTTTGGACAGTTCTAGTTTTTCGGAGAGCTACAGATCTCCAGCCTGTCAACAGATTTTTTTCAGAGAGCTACAGATCTCCGGTGGCGGTATGTCATTGAATAGATTTTTTTCGGAGAGCTACAGATCTGCAGCTACTGTCTGCAGCTACTGTGCTGCAGATAAATTTAACAATTTCTACGTTTCCTCAATTTTTTTGAATTTTTCAAGGATTTTTTTTATTTATTAAGGGATATGTTTTACTACAGAATTGACAATACATGGCAAAGTAGTCAATTTGTTGTTTAAGCATCTTAAATCTCTTATTTTACACTTAGTTTATGAAATTTTATTTACCCCTAAAAGTCCAGCGTGCTCAGGACAATATTTTCCACTGCCATTAGGTCTAAATCTACAATACCGCTTCTTCTTCTGGAGAAAGAAAGCACATTTACTTTCCTGTGCTTGTTTTTCTTGGGAGTCCATATGGAAAAGGAAAGTCGATAAAAGAAAAGTGAAAGTGAAAGTCTTAGCTGCGGAACTATAAAAAAAATTTAAAAATTAATAAAAATTCTTTTTTATATCAATTTACGACATCGCACTTTTAAGAAATTTATATAAAAATTCATATTATAACAAATAATATTATATTGTATTTTTGTAACTTATTTATTTACTGCTGTACTTTTATTCATGGCGGATCGTGAAGTTGGCAATTTGAAAGTTGGGTGACGCATAGGCGTTTTAAGTGTTTGAATTGAACAATATACATATTTAAGACTGAAAAATGTTTGTTACATTAAAGACTCTTCAGCAACAGACGTTCAAAGTTGAAATTGAACCTGAAGACACGGTATGTCTATAAAACACGTGCATGCTCTCTTGGATTTTTATCTTCTTTTTTTCAGGAATAATTTATTTAATAATAACATTGCCTCCAAGATAAAGAAGTATGTTGTGCATTTTATATAGTACCACATATTCTGTTTTGGCACAGAAAGGTCTGGTTTATGAACATAATAGAATATAGTCTTATAAACTGAAGTGACCAACACTAACAAGCAGCAGTAATTGTTGGCTATCACGCCTGTCTTTGTTTGTATTTGTCTATATAAGCATTTGATATTTATAATGATTGGATATGTGTTTAAAAAGAGTCCTGGAGCGGGTCCAGCAAATCTCTTGATTTTACATGTACATGCTCTTCAGGATATATTGTATTTAGTATATTACATTGTATTTTGTATATACATGTATTTCTTTGTGTCTAATAATAATATGTTGACTGTATGACCGTTTAGGTGAGGGCAGATACTTTAACTTATTCAGATTTAATTAAGATCAGGCTCGTCAAACCACTTGTGACATTTATTGTGTCTAGACTCTGACATCACATGACATTGTATGTATGTTGCATTACCAAATTGAAGCCTGAAAATTGCTGATTTTAATGAAGAACCGTTTTATTGACTATTTGTCTGCAATATATTCAAAAAATCAAGGCAAGTTTATTATTTGTTTAATTGCAAGAAGATAATTTTACGAAGCTATGCATTGTGGGTCCAAAGTTACTGCGAAAAAAATTCTATAGCTTGAATTTGCAATAATCCAAATTTTCTCTTCACCCAGGCATTGTCATTAGAACTCGCATTGACAAGCGTCTCTGCGCTCGCTATAATTATACTGGTTTAATTTTTTTTTTTGAAAATGATAAAAGTAAAAGGAAATGTTCAGTTTTGTAAAACATTGAAAAAATTGAACATTCTCAAGATGCAATAAAAATTGTATAAAGAAAAATACAAGTATTAGTTGGCACTCAAGTGACTTTGCATCTTGGATTTTTGGGGTTGTCTTAAAAATTATTTCATGCTTGATTTAAATCAATACTTACACTTTATCCAATTGTAGTAGATCGTCTTATTTCAAGAGGTAAAGAGTTCCATTTGCACAAAAGATGATTTATAAATGTTTAATTTATACACTTGGGGATGCAATAATTTTGTGATGTGCTGGTTATATAATTGTCTATGTATGAATTGTATTAAGTCTTTAAATCCTTTCGTTATGTTTAGTGATTTGTGAGAAGTTATGTGAAAATGTGAATTACTAGTAGTGTTTTGTTGCCTAAAAGACATGAATGTTTTCCTTAATGTTGAGTCCTCATCCTGTATTTCAGTTTTGGTTCCATATGATTTAATAATTAAAAAAAAATCTTTTTGCAGGTTAAAAGTTTAAAAGAAAAAATAGAAAATGAAAAAGGAAAAGACAATTTTCCAGCTGGAGGACAGAAGCTTATATATGCAGGTGATATAAGTAGTTTCATTTTAGGCATTCCAAACTTCATTATTGTGTCATTTCTTCTTGTTCACACTACTACTAATGATGTATGATTTCTTTGGAAAAATTACATTATTGATTATTTCATTTTGTAGGAAAAATCCTTGATGATGAGAAGAAAGTTAGTGAATACAAGATTGAAGAAAAAAACTTTGTTGTTGTCATGGTAACAAAGGTACATTTACTTTGACATCAAAACTACTTATGCTTTTTTTCATATTGGTTACTCTATGTTTTAAATTGTATTTAATGTTTAATGTGTTTTTTAAAAATTAAAGGAAATTAAATTTGGAAATTTCTCGTGCCTCTCAAAATAGAAATTTGTATTGGCATAGGCTTAATATGTTTTATAATATTATTGAACAGATTCAGACAATTCATTTGGTCTTTGTTAAAATTCATCTGTATAATATACATAATACAAATACCAATAGATTCACTTTCAGTCATAAAAGGATAAACATGGTTATAAATATAACATGATAAGGAAACACAGCTTTGATCATCTTTATGCTGTCAGAACACCCACATTGATTAGAATGACTTCCCTGTAGAACATATTTAATACCATCAGTGTGTTAGAAATAGATTTAATGGCAGTGCTTAAAACATTGTACTCATACATTGCATATCATCCAAGTCATTGTGCAGAATTCGTTGCTATATGTTATATAGAGAATGATTTACATAAGTGACTTTCATATTTATTTCATATACATGTATTTTAAAAAAAAAAGCATTTAATTTGTGAGAAGAATGTATTAACTGTCTCTAAATTAAGTTCAATTCAAATTTTGGCTTAGAAATATGTCTTACATTTTTCTTTCTGGCACATGTGTGCAAAGTCACCTGATGTAGTAATTTGGGAATTTTGCACAGTACACTAGTAGTAGTCCTTTTCTTCTAGAAGTCATGAAGAAGTATTGTTATATATTGCAAGAGAAGAATTGTTAGGCTTTGATTTTGTCTTACAATGAATGCATACCTTAGTTATTCTGATCTAATCACAACGAGAATGGGATTTGGCAGCAAGCATGGCGTATTTTAGGTCTCCCCCCTCTTTCACTTTGATAAAATGTCTGGTATTTGACAAAAATGGCTTTTAAAATACAAATTTTAAAGTGTATTTAACATAGAAAATTTAATGGCAGAATGATAATGTCTTTTTTAGCCAAAACCAGCAGCAGCAGCAGCCAAGCCATCAGAGCCTAGCCCTGCCCCTGCTGCTACTGCAGCCCCTCCCCCAGCAGCCCCAGCCCCTGCTGCCACAGAAACACCAAAACCCGCAGAGG